TCCTCTGAGACAGTCAATCTGGAAATGACTGAGCTTCTTGGAGTGGTGTTGGCACACTTTGTCTCAGAACCATAAAACCGGGTTGGGAGGACAACAGCTTAGTATTATACATAATATATACATATTTATCTATAGACAACAACGTGTTATTACCTGAAATTTCTGCATGGCCTGTCTCAGCTCGTAAACCTCTTCTCTGGTGAGACGAGAAATGTCCTTTCTCACTGCCACACCCTCTTGGAACTCGTGCTCATGTGCGTCATCGTGGTGGGAGATGGGAGCTGCAGAAAGAGTAAACGATATAAGTTGTGCTTGCGTCCTCATACAAACACTTCCGCAAACATACATATTAAAAAACAAAACAAAGAAAGAAATATATATTGACACAGATGGGAAAGGTGATGACATAAAATAGCGGAATAATAATAATAATAATAATAATAATAATAATAATAATAATAATAATAATAATAATAATAATGATAATAATAATATAGTATTTTATATTAATAATAATGATAATGGTGATAATAATAATAATAGTAATAATAATAATATTATTAAAGATGATGATAATAATAATAACAATAATGATGACAATAATAATAATAACCACAATAGTAAAAATACCAATAATAATAGCAATCAAACTATTAAATACAACATCAATAGCCCCCCCCCCCTCACCTACACACACTATTCCTATTTCAAAGGATAGAAAACAAGAATCTACTGAAAACCTCAGATAAAACAACAAATTGTACTAAAAACATTAGTCACTTACAGAGTAGGCAATATTATAAGGACCTAAATTTTAATAAGCCACTTACGGTCAGTCTTGCCAAGTGCGGGCCTGAAAGACACAGAAGGGCTGGGGATGAGATCGCTGGGCAGTTCTGTGCCATTGACGCTGAAGATACGGGCCTGGACATGATAGTCGCCTTCCAGATCAATGCCCATATGCTGGACAGTCTTCGTGATGTCGAAGAAGTAAGGCCAGGTGAATGTCCAGGCCATCTCAGTAGGGCCACCCAAGATGAAGAAATCTCCGGCAAACTCACAGTAGTCTCCTGTGACGTCATTAGCTCCAGGAACGCAGACCTGATGAAGGAAATAGCATTATGTATAAACCCAATATGTTAAGGGTGGTTGGCGGGTGCTCTTGTGTGGTTCGCTGGTCCTTCTTTTCTTTCAAAAATCGATCGCCTTTCACTTTCATTCTGCTTTTATTTGCTTGTTACTTCCTAGTAACATCTCGTGCCTTTAACACTTTATTGACATGTTTGTAACCGCTGCAAAACTCTTACTAAAAACTAAACTAAACCCCAATATACTTACCTTTTTAAGGGAGGGGGTGGTGTGAACCTTAGCAATGACGAGAATTTAAAAAAAAACATTTTGGGAAAGGTAGATGGATTAATCGATTGACCGGGTGCACGTACATCACGTGGCCTTGTCTTACATTTGCAAAAATAACAATGAAGGAAGGGAGAAGGGCATAGGAAATACACTGCAGCCTCTGAGAATGAGAAAATTCAGTGACCAATGGGTTATTACTCCAATCCCCCCCCCCTCACCAACTTGTTTCCACGCACGCGTTTTGCCAGTTCTGAATAACTTCAGCCAGCTGCTCACATTTACCAAGACCAAAATTTTGAACGTTTAAACAATCACGGTTTTTTAATACATGTATTTGCACTTGGTTGCCCATGCTCAAGCAATATTTTATCAAATTTCAAATTCTAAAAGTTGACCCCCCAACAAAACAACAACACCAAGCAAACAATGAACCCAACCCCACCCCCCAAAAATAATTAAAAAGACACCCTCCCCCCCCCCCAAAAAAAAGAAAAAAAACCCACCACCACCAGCAGCAACAGCAACAAGAACAAGAACAACAACAGCAACAACTACAGAAACAACAACAGCAATAGCAACAACAACAACTAACAACAACAACAGAAACCCCAAAATATATGAACAATTGTTAAAAGAATGAAACAATTTTTTTCTCTCCCCCCAGAAAAATTTTGCTATCTGGGCCTAGTACAATTGAAGAGTATGCCATGGGTATATATATACCTCCACTCTGACGTTGGCAGATCCGCCAATACCGGCGAGGCGGAAGCTGGCGAAGGCTCGGTCATGTGTCTGTTTTTCTTTCAGTAGGGCCTTGATTGTCTCTAAGTCCATTCCGTTCAGTGTCAGGTCATCGTACCTGAAAGAAAAAAAGTCGTCTCAGATTAAGCAATACAATTCTGAGCAGTGGGGAGAAAAGATCAGGATAATACTTTTATTCAGGGAATCTGAACAGAGAAAAGTGGCGAATCGAGATTGCAATTGTCTATTTTATGTCAAGCTCTAGAGGTAGAAGAAAATTCTGAGCTCATAAAAAATTGAAACCTCGATTTGATTTTGTGAATCTGGCCTTTTAATACCTCGTCATTGCCTTTTTAAATTAAATATACCTGTATAAAATTGACAAGCATAAATTACTATTTGCAAAATAAATCTTTTTCATTGTCAGTTTTAAGTGGGTAGGAGTAAAACAATACGAAAAAGCCATAATCTGGCCATAATAATGATAATAAGCAGAATGTGTATTGCACATACCATAGCTCAACAAGTTCCTCTGTGCGCTTTATAATGTATATTATTACCCCAGCAGACCCTAGAACACCCGCAAACAGTATCGACTTTCTGGGAAACGTAATACAGTTCAAGCTGCGGATTACACACGCTAAAACACTAACAAACTGACAAGATCTCTCACAGTCTATAGCTGGGTACCCATTCCCACCTAGGTTCCAACCCGCAACCTTTCGGTTACTTACCCTACAACCTAACAACTAGACCATGGACGCCCCAGATGGTGTGGTGAAGCACTTGTCAAAACTATTTTCACAAAAAGTATGAACGTTGCCTGACACAGAAACGTTCCGAAGAGAAAAACGAACCTGTATCCAAATAAAGAGTGGTCGATGACTTCATAAGCTTTGTTGTGGCGCTTTGTCAGCGGGAAGGGATTTGAATCCCAGTTAAAGGGTACCAGTTCCTTCTGGAAAGCTGCGATGTCGCACAACTCACATTCACCGACGCACGCATTTCCTGGGGAAGCAAGGCACGGATTAGTTTCGACGGGAGTAAAGGTACAGTGTGTCATGTATACTTTGTGATTCCTGGAGCAACGAAGCGAGAGAGAGAGAGAGAGAGAGAGAGAGAGAGAGAGAGAGAGAGAGAGAGAGAGAGAGAGAGTAAGTGATAGCTTGTACAACACACACACACACACACACACGCGCGCACATACACACGTACACACACACACACACACACACACTTACGCTTAATGAATATTCTAATCAGTTGTGTGTAGCTGTAACTGGCAGCATCAGTGTTCTTGCATTTGAATTTAGACAACCTTATTTGTATGATTCTGATTCGCGTTGCCCTGAGTGTAAGCAAACACAGCAATGGAAACTCTACTTATAGCTAGCAAGATAGATAGTTTTTGCAGGTGACTGATGGGCGCTGTGATGTGTTTTCCACCATCTACTTCATCTTAACGTTGCGTTATTTCAGTGGAAATGAGGCAAATAATATCATAATGAGTCACTGAAGACTTCAACTCAACAACACTTTCTCTTTTTTCTCAACTTTTCTAGATCAAGAAATTATCACGTTTTTTAAAAACATGTTGGCGTTCTAACACCACCATCAACACAATTTCAGAGATAGTTTTCGGTTGTGTCTGTCGGGGCCTACCCATTCTGAGAGGGATGTAACACCCTAGCTAGAAACTCCACCTGAGATACTCGATAAAACTTCTTCCCACTCGCGAATCGAACTCTGGTCTCCTGCGTGCGACAGTGAAGCTCCTAACCGTTTCATCAACACACCATGCGTCGGTACTTACCACGTCTATTGCCTCTGAGCTTCTGAAGTTCTTCATAGACGGCGTAAATCCTGTCCACATTGGAGTGGTGCAGGAAGAAGATGGGATCGTAGGAAGTGTACTCTAGATGGGACATGGAGTACGTGTGACGTCCTCCCACCAGATAGTGAATGGTGTTGTGAGCCACCTCAAACTGGACCTCAAACTGGCAGTAGTTCTCGTACTCGAGAGCGTTCAGAACCTGCTCGAACAAATCGGTTCTCTCACCGGCCTCAACCTGCAGACAAAAAATATTGGGCATCGTGGTGAAATCAGGCGCTCGTCAAAATAAGAACATCAGAGAAACCAGCCTTCTTTTTGCAAGTTGGGGAATTAAGAATAAAATCTCTTTCTGGAAAAGCACTTTTTATGTCCATTCAAAACCACATTCCTGTGTGGACTTTACTGAAACGCATTGATCAAAAGTACAAAAACGAAAATTTTCAGGTTTTAAAGACACTCAAATTGTACAAGTCAACCAAACTTTGGCGAACACTTCCTTGCTAATTTTACTCATGACAACAGGCGACCCCTACCTCTTCAATTGTAGGTATTTTGACTTCTATTCATGATAATGGACATCTTTTCATCCAAATGAGACAAATGAACAAGCTTAACGATGATACCAATAACTCCTAATGCCCTAAAATTGACTAGCGCCTGATTGCAACTCGTCGTGACATAAAAAAATACAGTATTAGAATTAGATGACTTAACGTATTGAGGACACTTATTCTAGTTATTCAAACGCTTGAAAACGCGCTCTTTAGGAGAATTCTTAGACAAGCATAACTTCGTTGTTCATACATAAACACTTTTGAGGTCTGTTTTAAAAAAAAATCTATAATTTTAAAAAGCAGGCATTAATCTGGCTACAACGTTTCTGGTTTGTGTATGTAGATTCGATATGTGCCTTTGGTCTATTGCTGATCTGAAATAATGTGTCCGTCACATCCTTAAGAGAGGTAGTGTTGTCGTACACGCTCCGTTTTGTATAAAAATACCCCACGTAAAAAGGGGAAAAAGAGGTATGATATGTTTTTTGGCCACATACGTTTTCTTAAGATGT